TACCAGTCTACCATTCACACTACCAGAAGGCAAAACAATGCTGTTGGTTATTTATTTGAATATGTAATTTGTATACATGAATGTCAATACCCAGTCACAGGACTGTTGTGGCATTACAAAGTTGACTACAAAATAAAATGTTGAGGTCGCTATTGGACTTCGAATCTACCTTTAAGATAATACTTAATTTTAATCAATCTAGTGTTTTTTTTATTCATTATGACTGTCTTTCATTCATTTATTTTCACTTAGAATTAATTTTCACTATTTTTGCTGAAGGAATGATTCAGTGAATTCCATACAAAACACCTGAAAAGTCTTTTCAGCGAAAATTAATACCAGCTAAAATAAATAATTTTACAGTATTTCCGTCCATTATTTTTGGATGAAATCATGAAAAAATTAGTAGAACATTTATTGCATTATATTTGCATGAATGCTGTACATGTGTTAAAAGCAAGTATTTGCTTTATTGATGTGTAATTGTTTATAAAAAAAAAATGAAAAATTTGTTACTGATAACGATTTCTAATTATTATAATGTTGAATATGAATATGTGATACAATACACACAATTGCAGACATAACTATACTTATTTTTTTTTTGAGTTTTTTCCCTTGCAAAATAAGGTGCATTTTGTATTATAGAACACTCAAAATGTCAAAACTGGAAGTGATAGTCAAGTGAATCAGACAGACAATATTTAAGAAATAGAGAATTATTCAAAACTGTTAACTGCTACCCAGAATATAATATTATACTTTGACTGTGTATAGATTCCTAATAAAATAAAATGCGTTTTAAATTATTTTATCATATTCAGAGTGATAATGTGCACAATTCTATGCTGTATATAATGTTTTCCTTGATAATGTGGACATTAACTCTGTTTTTTGTGTAACTCTGCACAACATGAAGTGCTAAAATTTTGTGTGTGTTGTCAGGTCAAAATCATGAGTTAACTTACTTTGATAGTAACTTCAAATGGATGTTGTAGTTCAAAGAGTAGTTTGCTCATCAGATATTTATCTGTAAATAACATTACTACCCTGTTAAATAATGGATCATTCTCATTTGAGAATATTCTTCTGCTTTGAATAAAAATATCGCACACATAACCAGGATTCCCTGCCTACAGAAAATGACCCCCCCCCCTATTTATCCCCCCCCCCCCATTACATTATCCAATATTTCTCCTTATAAAGTATCGCCATTTGCATAGGACTATTCTGCTCAACAAAAAAGTAAGCATGGCATTTATGGCAATTAAAACGGGAGGGTCGTCATCTGTGCACGCACAGGAATTCCCAGGCGACGATAGCAACACGCGTTAAAATGCAAAGGCTCGTGGTTAAACAATGACACACTATGGCCATCTGACGCATGCGCATCTGACGATTCACCCTGCTTTAAATGTTTAAATATTTGAACATGGTTATAGGGGTGCCCTTGATTGATGGGATGCTTCTGTGTCATAAACATGTCTTGAGGGGTGATAGAAAAATCTTTGGTTATGTGGTCATCCCTCATAATACACTATTAAAGACGTTTCATATTGATGAGCGACTGCAGTAAAACTATATGTTCATTACGTCACCGGAGCTCTTCTTTGCTAGAGGGTGCAAGTTATAAATTAGAAATATAAATCAATGCGAGAACCAAAAATCCTCCCTGTAAACGAATGTGATTTTTTTTGGGAGGGGTTAAGAAATTACAAGAAACACTATTCCTATTTAAAGCGGGGGAGTCGTCACATGCGCATGCGTCAGATGGTCATAGCGTGTCATTGTTTACAAACAAGTGTCTACCCATGAGCCTTTGCATTTTTAGCGTGTGTTGTTATTATCACTTGGAACTCAATTCCCGCGTGTACGCAGGTGACGACCTTCTCGCTTTAAGATCTCCTGAGCAAACAATGTTTGTTATTGGGGATTTTATTCATAAAAATGCGTTCAAAAAAAACATAACCAGAAAAATAAATAGAGATACCAGTATATACAGAAAACAATTATTCCACTGTGCACACAAAATGTCACTAATCAGTAGAGCATTTGATTTCAGTACAAAGCTGACTCCATCTCCCGTCACTTAATAAACTAATCAATATACTATTGACAGACAAGCAAACAGCTCTTGACACAATTGTCAACAAACATAGACTGGAAATTGTCAGGGTCATTGTAGTAACCGAGTGTTTGCCTATCCACCACCGCAAGATCCACACAGGAAAAACGGCAATTAACACGTTAACTCAGTTTTATTCTGTGGAACTGCAGACTACAACTTGGCAAGCTGGTCATGTGACCACTAACAAAAGAACATCTAGCGTACTAAATATAGATACAAAGTTATCACAGTCATAATAGACCTTAAGCCAGTCATGGCAGTCATATTTTCTGTTATATTATTGGTCACAGTTCATTTCTGCTTGTTTTATGAATTTAAATTACAGCCAAAATTATCTCATTTACTTATGTTATGTAAATGATGCAATTCTCATTAATTGTTTGATTTTCACGTATAAATTGTTCAACTCTCTCAAAAACATCATGTGATACATCAATTTGGCATTGTTATTTTAGTTTTTGAAATGTGTTTTGCAAATTCTACAATGGGGGGGGGGTCCTATTACAGGCTCAAAGGTCTTTATGGGTAGCTGAAAAGTTAGGTTGAGAAATATGTTGAGAACAATATATATATATTATAATAATGAGTTTTAAAGAGAAGTGTAGGATATACCTGGCGGAAAATAAATCTAGAGGCGGAGCCAGTACGTTTATTTTCTGTGTGGGTTTCCATGTTATTTGGACCTTACAACTGACCAACAGCTGTTTCTATCTTTCTAAGTTTGAGGACTCAGAGTGTCTCATGTAAACATAAGTTATGACATGACTTACTAAAGCGGGGGAGTCATCACTTGCGCATGCGTAAGATGGCCATAGCGTGTCATTGTTTACAAACAAGCGTCTACCCTATGAACCTTTGCGTTTTTAGCATGTGTTGTTGTTGTGGCTTCAGTTGGAACTCAATTCCCGCCCGCCCGCCCGCGTGTGCACAAGTGACGTCCCACTCACTTTAAATAAATGCGAACAAATGCAACTTTTTTGTAACATAATTTAAGCGTATAAACTGTAAGTAAAATCTTAGTCAGAGTTTAACAAGAAAACAAATATGAAACTGTAACACAAAAAACAAAAGTAGAAATAGAAATGTATGAAAATAAAATGAAAAAATGGCAATTAAATAAAGAATCTCCTAATTAATTGTAGGGTCTATGATTAAACAAAATTAATATGTGTACATTTTCCAATATCGCTACATCCGAATCATGTTATGGACGATGGTTATGTTACACATTATGTTAATTTATATAACAAATAAAATTAGATAACAAATTTAATGATTTTAATCACAAGCACCTTGTTTGCATAATTTATTCTCAATTGAAATTCTGAAGAAATTACATCAATTGGAGAATATTTTATTTTTTCTTCTAGATCCTTTCAGCTTGTACTACGATCATATCTATTTTTACTTCCACATCCCACAAATATCATTGTAAGAAAAATAGAGTTTTCGGGTCTATATATTTATATTATTTTGTAATTGTTTTTATTATTATTATTACATACATCTTATTTTGTATTACTTTGAACTATCACCACATAAATATCATCTTGTGG